AATGATTTGCAGTGAGATCCAATAACGAGACATGGTCAAGTGCACGCGTACCCGGCGAATCTACAGAATCAGCCTATGTACCACCAGTTACATTACACCCTGTATATGTACACGAACGAAAGAGAGAAAAATGGGCGAGGGCGGGGGGAGAAGCGATCGCGTAGAACTGTACGACTCCATAGCTCGTGCCACTTTAATTTCATCAAGCTCGGATAACATTGTCACGTCAGTGTTATGTCATGGAACGTGGCCGTTGTTCGCATCGCCGTCCCGTCTTCGTTATACCAATAAACGAACCGGTCGCACTTCGATGCGCCCAATAAAAATTAATGAATTTCCAGCAAATTCCGTCGTGAAACATCCATTGTACGCACGCTACTATCATTCCCCCTTCTCATTTTACTCGCGACACTGCCCTTTCCTGTTTTCGCGATTGAAATCAGAAATGGTTACGTATTGTCGCAGGTGTAGTCCGCGATCGCATGGAATCAACCGCAAAGGAAGAAACAACCAAGGTTGACCCTTCAATTTTCCGTCTATGGGAGAGACACTATTTCCCGACAGCAATGGCGGATCGTTGAGATCAGAGGAACGGGTTTTCTTAATGTTTGAAACATTAGCGGGAGATGTCAGTGTATCCTCTTTTCGACAATCGGGTCGCGCGTGATCGTTGCTCAAGCACGGTTGTCGTAATTTGTAACGAAGGTTGGAGGAAATGCATGAAAATGAATGGTACCGAGGTTTCGCTAACTTGTATTCTCTTCGTGATTATGACACTTTCACTTGTGATGCTACGCGCAAATTTACAAGTTGATACACCCGAAGTGGTTCTGCTAACAATCGTCGACGATTGAAAATTGTATTTTTCAAACCTTTCTGTTCGCTTGTTCGTTGTAACGTATTTATCGATAAGATCGAGAAAAATGATGATTTATTCGGGAACGAGATTGAACGTTTCATATTATTATCTATAATTTTACAAGACTATTACAATACATTGACCTGTCCGTCTTGGTATAAAAGGATGCCGTGTTGAAATAAAAGTATTACAATACCAGTTATTGTCGATAAATGAAAAATTGTACACACTATTATTGCCGTTTATTGCGATTATAGGAGATACCTGTGGTCGAAGATGCAAGAACGAGGACGTCGCGACGATGTGAGAATACGGATCCTGCGGATGGTTTTCGGTATTCGTCGTTGCACACGATTATTGGAACGCCGCATTCGGTACTCGCAATATAATTCAATATAGTTCAATATAGTTCAATATAGTTCAATATAGTTCAATATAGTTCAGTTCGCTTTGTAATTTGAACATTGAAAACATAAGACGTTACTTTTCGCATAACCAGCTTAGGTAACGTATTACGTAACCGCCATTTTCATCGGTGTTCGCGTCACTTGTACCTTGCTGTCACGCATGAATTTCATATTTACTCCATGATCGGTCGCGCAAATGATTCATGTTAATTAGGATTCGTGTTAGCACGCTTCCCGCGGTCACGGATGGTCCTTTAAATCCGCTGCTGCGCATTCTACTCCTCGGAACGAGCGACGAGCGTTAAAAATGCTAATCAGATACGCGATCATCGTTATTCGCATCATTTCTGGCGACGATTTCTTACGTAATTCCATAATTTCCTCGTCTCGGATGACTTTACCTGCCGATTTTCAAGAAGGAAAGCGTTTATAGATCATTTCGTCTAGCTGCAACGCAAAACTCATGGACGTTGCTTTTACTTGACGCAACACCGATGATGTCGAGACATCCGTTTCTGTTGCTAATTTAACAATAATATCGTTTGATTCGTTTAGTTATCAGGTTTAAGAAAGTGGAAGAGTTATTTATATATCTTGTATCGTCTTTAAGATCACGAACGAATTATTCTCATCTCGTATCGACCTCAAGAACGAAACAAAATTATTTTTATCTTGTAATCTTGTAACGGATCTCCGGAAAATTTCACTGAAAACCGTCCCCGCCTACGATTTGTGGGTTTATTGTCACTCGTGACGCAACCGCGCACGTCACTGTCACATTTTTATGATGTTCCAAACGAACCTTTCGTCGATGCTCGTAAATATTCAGGTGGACAGGTGGTTTGAGGTTTCATGGATCGCGAAGAGAACGGAAAAATGCAGCGGAGACGTTCGCGTTCGACGAGCGCAATAATTGTTTGAAAAAACACACGATGGCCTGGCGTCGTTGTTGGAACGAAGGCTGTAGCGCGATACATGACAAGAACTCTTCGCCAGGTCCGATCTAATTAATCCTCGTTAAGTCATTGTCAATTGTTTACGTAAACGAGAGGCAGCAAGCACATAAACGTGCACGTGCACCTTGTCTCGGAAGTAATATGAAAATAGATCGTCTTTTACCTGACATTACTAGTGCGCTTTGCCTGTAAATTCCAATGCGGAACGAAAGTTTGAATGTCGCGAGTCGGAAAATACTTACGTGAAGCTTGGGTTCAAAATATTCCGAGGAACCGAGAGACTCTGGCTCTCAGAGATTGAATTTCAAAGTTTCCACGCCGAACATCTACAGGATCCGAAGTTTTAATCCGAGGATTTATACTTGCACGGGGAAATGAAATTGTCCAGCTCCTAGACCTAACCAAAAGATTTGAGATTTCCTTTGGAAATATCAAAACATTCGGAACAATTATTAATCGAGATTCGCGGGAAGCACATGCGCGATAACGAAACAGGTCTCCGATCATGATCGACGGAGCATGCCTGAGAGAAAACGTCAAGGTCCGTACCGAATTGGTGCAAGGTAAAAGTCGAGGTCAGCTTCAACGGAAATCGCAGCTCGCCCGAGGCTGAGTTGGACAAAACGTAATCCGGTTACATACCGATTGTAGTAGGCTAACGATTAAAATGCAACGTTTATTCGATCGCGAGTTACTACCGGTAATTCCTACGTGATAGTTTAATCTATGGATAATTATTATTATACTTGATAATTAGAGCAACTATGAATTAGGACCCGGCGGAATCGGCTCAACTTCGATGCGACAGCTTGGAGAGATTATTGAAAACGTTGACAGTGAATTCAACTCAACTATCAGGTCCGAACGATTGTCAGCGATGCGTAATCGAATCGTATTTTATTCAACTCTGGTAAGGACTCGAACCAAGAGAACACTTGGCGCGACAGTAACGGATGTTTTTATTCTAAAATGGCTTTATTATTAACTTCTTAACCTTACACATGTTTAATATGTAGTAATTTCCAAGAGATATCTGTATACGTGTGTTTGAATTCAGTATTCCTCCCGTGCGTCGCCGACGCCGATGGACGGAGCGCGTCAGGCAACGGCGTTGACGAATCGAACGTTCGCGATCGAGGCACCGGCGAACGCGTTCTCTCGTAGGAGCGCCACAGCGGACAAAAATAATTTGAAAACCCCAGTCAGTTTATGCGTTCTGAATTGTATACAAGAGATTCGTACATACGACGGGATATTAACGCGTATCTTTCTCTGCCTACGATCGTCAAAATTCTTTGCTTGTTCGTCGTTGACCTCTCGACCTCGTCTCCGTTGATTTTTTCATCCTCCTCCCCATTTCATAAACGTTCTCTTCCAAGTCTCCTTTGTACAAAATAGTTTCGAATGGCTACACAGAGCGAACAGCGAAAACAGAAACTTTCTGAGCTTTTCAAAGAAACTTCGCGCTTACTTCCCTTTCCTTCACCACTCTCGAGTTTCGAATCTCTCCTCCGCCTTATCTTCCTCGCGTCTACACACGGTTCTTAGTCATAGTAGATATCGTACACGTTATATAATACAGAATTGTCGTTTCCGGTTTGTTGTTATCTTTTTCCCTTCTTTTCACTTTCTGTTTTCTTTTTTCTCCGTCTCGTCGCAGTATTTAACTGAATCGCAGCGTTCGAGAGTAACGCTTTTCAAAGAGCGATGATATGATTAGAAGCATGATATGAGGTGTATCCTTGCTTATCGCAGGCGCGTAAGCCACCGATGCAGGGGAAACAACCGTAATTCGTATCTTTTCTCCCTTTTGTCTCGGCAACGGTTTTCTTTCGTTCGGGAGCTTGGGGGCATTCGGTCACGTGGCCCGAGCCAGTCGAGTGAAAAGAAGTACGGTCTGTAGTGCGGCTCGAACAGGGACGATTCACCCCCGACACTCGAGAGACGACGTTTCGATTTCCTTCTGAAGAAAAGATGCGCTAAAAATGCTATACAAAAATAGAAAATATTCCAAGCTTTCTCGATACTCGTCGAATGCGCAGAGTGGCGCGCAAGCTGTGGCGCTAATTGACATTAATAAACATTTCCCTCGGGAAAACTTTGTTCCGCTATTTTGGAAATTTTACCAGAAATCCAAAGGAATGTTAAATGTTAAAAGTAGGGGACTGAAGTGATCGTTTCAGGTTATCGATTCAGCATCGTAGGAAGAATAATTTGAAAAGTTTCAATGATTAGACGCCTTAAGTCTCGCGCCACCCTGTATCAGGCACAGATGAACGTAACGCTTTTGTTTCGCACGATCGAGTCATCGCACCCCTTTGTGTATCTCCTGCGATAAACAAGTCGCGATAAAAAAAAGATTCCAAGTAGTCGCGTAAATATACTTAAATCTTCTACATTACAAAGACGTGAATTAATAGTAATATATATATATATATATTATATCGTAATTTAGCTTGCATACG